ACTTATAATTTTAAATTGCCTATGTTAGAGAGAAGTTTTCAAAAAGGCGTTGGGTCAACGAAATCGGCTACATATATCATTTGATCATAGTATTACTGACAGATTACCGCAGAGTGCTACAGTTTGTTCTTGTAAATGACTTCCACCGATGCAATTCAAACGCCAAACCTCCTAATCTTTGGTGATGTTTTTAACTACTTCGTCTACCTAATTGAGGCCACAAACTTGCAAAAATAATGATAATGAAAAGTTCGTCAACTGACGAAACTATGGTCCGTAACGAACCTGGATAAATCTAGACGACTTTTCGTGAAATTCGCGAGAAATGTGAAATCAAGAGTAGCACTGTAAAACATAGTAATCCTGGGGATGTTTTACAATATTTCATCGTTTGGGATGTCCTAGGATTAGTTCCCGTGGTTTTATTCAGTGTTATGTATTATTTTCTACTAGAAATTCACCTTTTTTGGACCTCTACACCGCTGACCAGGTTCACCTCCTGCCTGGTTACCCTAGCAACGCATCGGGCTCTCTCCAGGTAGTGTTTTACGTTCAGCAGCCCCTTGGACTCTTCATCGGAGATGCTGCGGTCCTGCCTCGCGACATTCTGGTACACATTGTTAAAACTAACAAGTCCACGCTCGAGACAGCTATCGGAGCAAACATCTCTGACGTAGAAGCTTGGTCCAAACCGACTGAGTCACCAACAGTGGGGTCAGCCGAGCCAAGCAGCAATGACTGGAAGTGGATTGCGATTGGTATTGGTGCAGGAGTGGTCGTTATCATCTTGATAGTTATATTGGTGTTTTGGTGGTAAGATAGAGATTTTTTTTTCTCATATCAACGATACATATACTTACGATAGGTAGTCCAGTTCCTGAACTCTTCTTTCTTCCCGCCCCATATAGGGACTGAACCCGGGAGGGCGAAAAGAATAGTCTCTTCTTTTCGCCCGCCCGGGTTCAGCCCCTATATGGGGCGGGAAGAAAGAAGAGTTCAGGAACTGGACAAGGGACTGCCAAGATTCATGGCTAATTACTTCAGGGGTTGCCACTTCATGCAGAACCAGGTGATCTAGTCATCTGAGTTATACAACTAACGACTTATTCCCCTTCAGAGAAATAGTTACTTAAGAAACAGAAAAAAAAGTATCGTGTTTCTATCGAGTTTTAGTATAAGTCTACTAACGTTCTATCACGAATGCCGTTCTCTGATTAGCTACGCCACTCAGTATCTATTTAACAAATAGATTCCATGTTGCCGTGCGTCTGTTCAGTAATAGATCACAGATGACGTCAAAATGTGGTAAGAACAAAAAAGTGGCACACGA